TCCCTGCCCCAGATTTCTAGGAGCCAAACAGCCCCTGCTCTCCACCATGCAGCCAAAATAAACCCAGAAAAAAGCTTTCCTGCTCCTATTCTTGCCCATCACTGCCCCACACACACCTCCTTGCCCACCCTGATCCTAAAATCTCCCAGCCTGCCTTTCCCTGTCCTGCATCGCTCCAAATATTTGCACCAAACCCCCATCCTGCGGGAAAGAGCCCAATTTAATAAAGGGGAGAGGGGGAAGCAAAACACGACTCACAAACCCAACAAAAACAAACAGATAGGAAAAATAAATAAGGGAAAATATCCCCTTTGAATGGCTGAATAAAACTGGGAGCTAAAAAGCCTCATTGAGGAGCGGGGAGGATGATAGCTGACCGATTGAGCCTGAGGGAGAAGGAACTTGGTTCAAGCTAATTAAGGCCTTTTAGGACATTCAGCCCAGCGATGCCGGTGTAAGGGTGAGGAAAAGAGCCTCCTAATTGGCTTCCTGCTGGGGTGTCAGTCCCGAAGTCTGTATTATCCTCCCGGCACCTTTTCAACCTTTTCTTCTCTCCGTGGCCCCGCTGGGAGCTTGGGCTGTGCTGTGGCATCGCTTACCCTGCTGCCTTGCTGGGATGCTTTGCCACTGAAAAAGGAAATTTGCTGCAGTTCGGGGCTGTGGGGCTTGTTGGGGACCCTCTTGGACCAGGAGGGAGCACCCCAGGTCCCATGCTGGGCCAGCCTGTGCCCACTCATCCCTAACCAGCCTCGACAAGAGGCTTTGGCTCACTTGTGCCTCTGCAGAAGTGGTGCTGCTGTGTGATAAAAGATAAAAGAAAAGCTCTTTCCAACATCCCTATTCATTGCTCCAGGGTATCTCCTGTCCCAGAGAGCTCTTCATCTCCCCAGGGGCTGGTGAGGCCTGTGAGCCCATGGTACAGCTTTGAACAAACCAAATGAATCCCCATGAAACATCTCCTGATAGGACTGGAGAAGCCACGGAGCAAAACCATGCTGGGGGCAGCCCTCCAGCAAAGCCCCCGTGCTGCCACCACCCAAACATCAATCCTTGCCCCAAGAGCCACGGAAAAAGATAACACTGCTCAGCTGGGAAATGCTTCCAGAGGGCTGCTCGTACCTTTTGTTCCTCCCTACCATCCTCCAAACCCCAATTTGGATCTTGACGGGTCCAAGTTTCCCGCAGTCAAGTGGCTGCTTTCTCCCCTTTCAGAGAGGAAATGGCTCGGCCTGAGCTCAGCCCTTAGGAGATGCTGGAGAAGCCAACTGGGAAAATGCTCATGCCACATGTGGGAAAAGCATTTGTGTCTAATTAGCCAGCAGAGAATCCACCCATGAGAAACCTGCATGGTACTCAGCCCCGCTCCTGTTAATATGATGTTCTAGCAGTGATTTCCTCATATGCAATATAACACCTTTCTCTAGGGGAAAAGGCATTTTTGGACCTTTCCAGCATCTGATGAACACCCAGCAGCTCCTGTGAGTGCGGCCAGACCCTGGATCAGCTGCACAGGATGGTGACCATGGCCCCAGCCTCGGCAGCTTCTTGCCTAGGGATGCTCTCCACGATCATTTTGCCACGTGGGTAATTGAAGAATAAATGGGAATGCAAATAAAACATTTGCCTCCAAGCTCTCCTCCTTTCCCCAGGCTCCCAGGGAGGCTCTGGAGCACAATGCCAGCCTGGAGCATCCTTAGCCAGCCCTGCCAGGAAGCCCCTTGTTTGGGGAAGGGCTGTTAAATGGGAATTCGTTCTGCTCTTGCAAACACTTCCCAGACATGCTGAGCTGCTGCTGTGAGTGTGTTTGAAGGAGGGAGGAGGTATCTCCACTCCTGGATGCTTTGATGCAGATGGGGTGGTTTATTTTTTCCCTTGAACGTCTGGTGAAAAAACCCCATATATATACACGCAGACACATATACACAGATACATACATATGCATGCATATACATATATTATATATTCTTCTGCTGTGATGGGGAAGGGCTGGCAGACACTGGGACAGCTCCAGCCCCACCAGATGCTAAACTCGGCTCTACAGGACCTTGTAATTCCCTGGTTGTTCACACATTGGAAGGCTGAGCTCAAAGCCAGGCTTGGCCCAGCACAGCCCGTTCCGAGCCCTGGGTGGAACCCAAAGGCTCGTGTTCAGCCCCTCCTGTAGACACTTTGCCCCCCCACCCCATACAGTCTATGGGGAGGTGAGATAATTTCCAGCCCTTACACAGGTTTAGAAGCATTTCTACACAACCCCTGGCACACAATGCCTGTATTTAACCAGCTCTATCTGATTTTTCCAGGTCAATCCCATTCCCAATAACTGGCTCATCCCAACAGTGTTGGCAGGGCTGGTGGGACTGAAGCAGAGCCATCCCTCCCCATCCCAGCAATCATCCACTGGTGATCCCATGGGGATTGTCCTACATTAAAAATCTGGTGTATGGGAGGGTGCCCTGATCCTCAGTTGTCAACAAGATCCTGCAGCCTTCCCGACCTGTCCCAGGGCTGCAGCACCCATCCCCCAAAACTGCCTGGAGGTTGAACGGGTGAAGCAACTGAATGAGGAGGAAGTGCTGCTGCTTGTCCTCATAGCCAAGCACGATTTTTAAAAAGCCACGGCACAGAAACAGCCCAATGAGAAGAAGCAGGACATGGTGTCACGATAACCTGGAGAACACCATGGGATAAGGACACCTTGGGCCCTGCTTTGGGGGTCTCAGCATCTGCAGCAAGACCCCTATTTTCCAGGTAATCTCATTGCTGCTTCACTGAGATCCCAGTGGAACCCAGCAAAATCTATATCCCAAACTTGCAAACACCCTGGCACCAGGGCTGCCTGGCCCCAGCCACAGCCAGCAACCTGTCCCAGGGCTGGGGGCCGTGGGGGTACCCAGGGAGGGAGATGCTCTGGTTCCACATCCCTTTGGGGATGGGGAGCAAAGGGGAGACTCACCATAGTCTTTCTTACAGTACTTCTTCATGTTGATCTTCAGTTTCCCCTTAGAGGCTTTGCAGTATGAGTCACAATCTGCACAGGAGAGAGGGGGAGGGCAAGAAAACATTAACAAAACAAATTAGCCTTAAAATGAATAAAAGGCTGGGGGAAGGAGGGGGAGACGGCTCAAAGCTGCAGCCTGCCATGAATAAGCAGCATGCCTGTGATATCCATCTGCCAGGCCCCGATTGGGTCGTCTAAGGGGGCATTGAGAAAAACCTTCCTTTCTAAAGAAAGCTTTTCACAAAGGAAACCATCCTCCCTCCCGCCTCCCCCAGCCCGGCTTCCCTGGGCCGCCTCTGTCTTCCTGGGAGACCCCGAGGCCTCCCTTATTGTGCCACCCAGAGCTTTTGAGAGCCACACAAATTCCCCCTGTTCTCCAGCTCCCAACAGGAGCCTGCCCGGAGCTCACAGAGGCCCCATTGTCACCCCTGCCCGGCCGGTGTCGGCCTTTGGCATTCATTGGGGCTGGGGTCACCCGCACACAATGCAGGTCAGAGAGGAAATTAGCAGCCCATGAAGCATTAGCAAAGCCTTTTGGTGTCCACTCCACTCAAGTGTGCAAATAAAATCCCGCAGTAGGAACAGTTCGTTTCTAATGGGCCTCACTGCTGGGACATGCTGGCTTTGCTCGGCTGGCGGGTGGGCAGGGCTGGGATGGGATGGCAGGAGGGCAGGGCTGGGGTGGCAGTGCCAGGAGGGCAGGATGGCAGGGCTGGGAGGGCAGGATGGCAGTGCCAGGATGGCAGGGCTGGGAGGGCAGGATGGCAGTGCCGGGAGGGCAGTGCCAGGAGGGCAGGATGGCAGGGCTGGGATGGCAGCACATGGTCTAATGGCATTGGTGCCCTCCAGCCACTGCTGGGAACGTGCCAGTGACACCATGGCCAGGCAATGCCATAGTGGCTGGCGATGTGCCAGCATGGGGGCTGGCTCGTGGACATGCTGTCCATGCACACCCTGTGTCTCCTCAGGGAGAAACCCCCAGCACCACAGAAACCCAATATTTGGGGGGAAACAGGACAGGTCTGGGCCCAGTGGGCACTTGGCATAGTGACAGTCCCTGGGCATCTCCATCTCTCCCAAATGCCCATCGTTCCTCCACAGCCTCCACAGGAGACCAGGTGTGAAAATCTGCTGAGCTGCCCCAGCAGGGCCATGGGCTCTGCCAGTGGGGTGGGACACTGGCTGAGTGGGGGACACTACTGGTACCCCATGATCCTCCAACACAGGGTGCCCATATCCTGCCCACACTGCCAGTGCCAGACCAGAACCACACTTGTCCATGCACACCTCAAGCTCTCCAGTGAACCATGACCTGAAAGCCTGGGAGAGAAACTGCACCATCCCCCTTGCACAGCTGTCACACAGCAAGGTGGCATGTGCCACCACCTCAGTAGGGCTTGAGGCCACATTTCTCAGCTACTTTAGGAACCCATGCAAGAATCTGTTCCTTTCTAGAGGCTCACACTGAGCAGCCTGGGAGGGGAAACTGAGGCACAGAGTTGGTAGGTGGCTGCACAGCTCTAGCAGCGTTGCCCATCAACAGCTCTGCTGTTACACAGGGACTATGGTATGAAGCTGGCTTTGGCACCAGGCCCTGTTGGAAGAGGTGGTCTCCAGTGCTAGATGCTCAAACCCAGCCCAGGCAAGGAGGGCACTGAAGTCTCCAGTGAGGCACAGAGTTGGTAGGTGGCTGCACAGCTCTAGCAGCGTTGCCCATCAACAGCTCTGCTGTTACACAGGGACTATGGTATGAAGCTGGCTTTGGCACCAGGCCCTGTTGGAAGAGGTGGTCTCCAGTGCTAGATGCTCAAACCCAGCCCAGGCAAGGAGGGCACTGAAGTCTCCAGATGTGCCACAGGGGGTCCTCTGCACCCTCTCAGCTCATCCAACCTCAGTGCAGGAGGTGGGTTCAGAAACATAGGGTGGAAAGGAGATGCTGCAGGAGGTCTCATGGACCCCAAATCCAACCCTCCCTGTTGGCAGCAGAGCCAAGAAGCAGCTTCTCCTGCAGCTTGAGTGGAGGAGCCAACAAGAGAAGGAAACCCAGAGAGCTGAACACCCCACACCCCATGATCATCACATACCACCTCAGCCCCTCTCACCATGACCAGGCAGAATCACCTCACCTCAGCACCTTCCTCCTGTCCTGCTGCTCCCATTCCTCAGGAGAGCCCCCACAGTAAGACAGGACTTCACTCTCTTTCAGCGTGACCCAGTCAGGGCCAAAAGTAAAAGCTATGATATAAAGTGGGGCACCTTTTTCCTCCCAGAGCCCTGGCCAACATCTCTGTCCAGCTCCAACTGACCAGAGGAGCCAGGCTGATGGCTGAGGGCCTCCAGGACTTGGTGTTTCCCCTTGGCTTTTCTGATCTAACGTGACCCTGAACATTACATAAAACTTGAAGTGCACTGAGAAAAGATAGGATAGTCCATAAAAGCTGTATTTTGAAGGATGAAGATTTGGTAGCAAAGTCCCAGCCATGACTACATGATGGGATGCCACCATGCAAAGGGACGTGGCTGTCTGGTGTCACTGAACCCAGGAAACAGAATTATTTTTGATCCAACTCACTGGTAAGATGTTCCTGGCCATAAAGATGGGAGGAACAGTTTAAAAGTGTGCATGCAGCAACCTGACAGCCCATGGAAACTTTCCCTCACCTGCTGGGTGGAGCAGGGGCTGAGGAAAGAAAGGCCATAGCTGCTTCTCTGGGCAGCCAGCGTGACTCTGCTCAGCTGTGGATTGCTGATGTTCTCAAGACGTCAGACAGGTCCTGGCTCTGAGCTCTAGTGACAGACAGGGGTGGAAAGCAACTCCCACCCACATGTCCCAGGGCCTGGCCCTGGGATCTGCAGGTGGGTCTTCACCAGCCAGGCTGGTATAACCCACCAAGAGTAGATCCTCCTTCAGCCCCAGGAAAGAGCAATCAAAAAGAAACCATCACTCTGGACTGCAGTCCAAACCACTCACAACAACCCGAAGTCTTTTCAGCAGCCTCTCAC